CGCGATGACGTCACGCGCGCAGTCTATAAAAGGCCGTCGCGGTGAGTCATTAATAATTCTGAATCTGATATCCCCATATATAGCCATTAATTCCGATTAAGGAGTACAGCGAGAACGATGGCGGAGCGCAGCACTCAAAGCACTTCTGAGTCCAATCTGTCCTGGAGAGAGGAACTTGTTAACCTGGTACTGAATCCTCCGAGAAGGAAAGCTGGACCTAAGCAGGTGTCGTGGGCAGACCTGTCCTACAGATTGCCCTTAGAAGCCAAACCTATCCCTGGACGGCCCAAGAGCTGCATGAAGGCCACTAAAACCAACTTTGACTGTAAAGAAGAGCCTTACAGCAGCCTCCGGAGCCAGTCGAGGCCGCTTGCTTCGCCCTGGAGAGACGAGGTGAGGAGCAGGTGGAGCCCACCCCGAGCTCCTGAGAGAGGGATGCTGTCCCGTCTGAGAGACGTGCCCACCAGTGCTCCCAATCACATCCTGAAGGCTCTCCTGAAGCTCACTGAGACTAAATGGGAGCACCTGGCTGAGACGGGGACGTTCCTGGTGGATCCCGTCAGGGGTCCGGAGCCTGGGAGGGTGGCGTGGCCCGATACACCCACGATCCAGAGACATTACACGCCTACTGTGCAAAGAAACCTCCAGGAGATACTCCAACAGACCCTCAGAGAAGCAGATCAGCTGAGGGAGACGGCTCTCATCAAGCCTGGGAACTCTCCCTTGAGAAGCTGTGGGATCTGGCTGAAGGAGAAAGTCCTGGGCCGTCCCACGCCCAAGAAGAGCTGCCTAAAACAAGCCAGGGCAGAAAGCGTCTCTAAAGACGAGGCCGAGGAGGTCAGATACTTCACCTCCCGTCAGAGAGAGATACCTGCGCAAGCGGAGCTCGACTCGGAGCTCAGAACCGTCACGTTCGTCTCCGAGTGTGAGATCGACTTGATCTGATCCTCGCCAGCGCTGCAAGAACTGAAATCATCTGCAAATAATTAGGTGCAGATGTGAAAAAAGGTGCAAGAAATGGGTGCAAGGTCTTCCTCAAAACAAGCAGAAGAAACAAAAAGAGGAAGGACAAATCAAAGCATTTAACAAAAGAAATAAATATAAATAGATCTAAAAAAAATAAAATAATATATATATATATATACATACATACAGTATATATATATATATATATATATATAATTATGGGAATAAAAAAATTAAATAAAAAATCTAAATATAATAGAGAATTGTGGGCATTCAGCAAAAAAGTTTTGAGATTTCTATGTGTAGATATGGACTATTAATACATATTTTATAAAAGTGATAAAATAAAAATGTGTAAATATGGACTGTAAATATGAATATAAATAAATAAATACTAGAAATGTGAGCATTTAACAACAAAAAAGTTCAATTTCTCTGTGTAAATGTACAATAAATATACATAAAAAAAAAAAAATTAAAAACAAACCATGTGGCTGTCTTACTTTTCCAAAGCATGAAAACTCAAAATCCTTCTTGTTTTCACTCTTTTTTAATGTGTGACAGTTTTATCATGAGCACATTGTGAGGAATGAATCATTGAATTGCTAAGTTTACGTTCATAATTCCTACACCTGTAGTATATGTTTGGACTGTGAAGGCCTTTGGTTGTAATGATAGTGCTGATGATTCATGTTATTGCTGTGATTTAGAAGCTCTCGTGCTCGGTGCTGATTTGCTTCTACATTTAATTACTCTTGTGGTGTTCCGATGTTTCTAAATGACAAACACTAGACACTGGAAGCTTGGATTCAGTATTTAATATTCTTGATGGTGTTTCAGTTCACACACACACACACACACACTCACTCTCTCTCTCACACACACACACACTCTCTCTCACACACACACACACACACA